TGGAGAAAAGGAATATTTATAAACAAATTTTTTATTTTATAAACAAAATTGTTTATTAATCAAAATGGCTTTCGTATCCACTGATCTTGACTTTGCCAGGAGGAGTAGTAGAAATATGTGACTAGGGTGTGTTAGCCTATCCACAAGGGGACTGTCTAGTCTTTCCATTAAATTGAATGATTTAGCAGCAGCAGGAGACCTTCCCAGCAGCAAGAGACCTTCCATATCAAAGAAGGAAAAAATTAAACACACCCTACAGGGCCAGAAATTCTTGTTCCAGTTATACCTACAGCAGCAGCAGCCACAGTCAAGCCAGAAAATCAACCTAAGATGAAGTTACCTTAGGACTGCTAGCCCTCCACCCTCTACAAATAAGAGCCATTGGCCTAGTTTGCTGGACAACTTGGGGGTTGGGGGTAAAGCCAATTTTGGCAGGTCTGAGAACTCTGTAATACTGGCCCTTAAGCCACAAATGAGCACATCTTTGCAAGCTGTCTTGATTGAATTCTGCTATTTATTAACCTGGATTATAACCTTTTAACTTCCCCAATAAGGTTCTGTGTGGTCTGGAAGCTATTGCATTGGATTTTGAACCCAGTAAAGCAGTAAGATTGGTGTTGAGATGAAAGAGGTATGGGAACATGAGGGACTTGTCTGACCTCATGAGAACTGGTTTTATGTTGCTGTCTTGTTGACAGGGACAGTTCCCCTTTGAGAAGTTGATAAAGGTCAGTTACATCTGCCTCACGTGAGCCTTCCTTTTGTTACACCAACAAATTGAAAGCATGTTCCTAAAAAAAGGGGCAAATTTCTAGTAAAACACCACCTACCTAACCTAATTAAAACTGAGGTAGAAAATATGAACAGACCTGTAACAAAAGACGCTAACGAGGTCATTTAAAAACAAACAAAAACTTCCAACAACAAAAGAAGCCCACTAGAACCTCACTAGAGAATGCTATCAAATAGTCTGAGATGAGCTGACACCAATTGTACTCAAACTATTGCCTAATAACTTAATATAAAAACTTTATACACAGTTACTAAGTCAGCATTTATTCTGAGCAAAGACACAACTAAAAAGAAAACTGTAGACCTATTTCCCTAATAAATATGTTGTTGCTGTTGTTGTTATGTGCCATCGAGTCTAATAAATGTAGATACAAAAATTTTGAACATGATCCTACTCAAGAGAATTTTAAAAATCTATTTAAAAATACCTCATGAGTAAGTGGGATTCATCTCAGGGATAGAAGAATGATTCAACATTTAAAGATACATCAAAGTAATTTATATTCATTAAACAAGAAATGGAATCACATAATCATCTCAATGTATACAGAGAAAGCATCTGATAAACTTCAATACTATTTCTTGATAAAAGCTCTCAGCCAAAAGGAAGGATATCCCTTAACATAATTAGGGTCATATATACAAAGTCAATAACCAATAGAGAGATGAAAAGAACAGGAATAAGACAAGCATATTGTTTCTCATCAGTCTCATTCAATACTGTGTCAAACAAGGAAAGGAAATAAAAGGCAACCAAATTGTTAAAAGACAAATTAAAACTATCTGTACTTGTAGATGGCATGATCTTAAACACAGAAAATTCCAGAGACTCCATAAGCAAGTTGCTGGGACTAACAGAGGATTCAACCAAGTGGTAGAACTCAAGATCAACATACAAAGTTTGGATGTATTTCCTTACTAACAAAGGGAACGCTGAAAAAGGCAGTCACGAATCTAATACCATTTACAATAGCCTAAAACTGTAAAAGGATGAAATGTTGTTGTTGTTATGTGCCATTGAGTTGTTTGCGACTCATAGCGACCCTATGTACAACAGCCCTAAACTCTGCTCTGTCCTATGCCAATCACACCGTCTCTGATACACTCATCCCAATTACCCCAGTCACTGAATCAATCCACCTCATAGGAGGCCTTCCCCTACTGCACTGTCCCTCCACCCTACCAAGCATCATGTCCCTCTCCAAGGACCGATCCCTCCTTGCAACATGTCCAAAGTATGTCAGATGGAGCCTCAGAATACATGCCTCCAAGGAGCAGCCTGGTTTGACCCTTTCCAGGATGAATCTTTGTTTTCCTAGAAGTCCATGGTACCCTCAATACTATTCTCCAGCACCACAGCTCAAAGGCATCAATTCTCCTTCTATCCTCCTTAGTCATTGTCCAACCCTCTGATGCATAACAAGTGATAGCAAAGACCATGGCCTGTATCAGACGCATCTTAGTCTCCAAAGAGACACCATTGCTCTTCAGTACTTTGGAGAGGTCCCTAACTAGGAATAAATCTAACTTGGGGGTATAGGGAGCCCTGGTGGCATAGTGATAAGAAGCTGTGCTAGAATCCTGAAGGCAAGTGTTTTGAATCCACCTGCTGCTCCAGAGGAAAAGAAAAGGTAATCTCCTGTGTGATTTACTGCCTCTGAAAACCCACTGGAGGGTCGGTCAGCTGTGGGTCAATTTCAAGTTAATGGCACAAAAAACAAGAGAGGCATAAAAGATTTATACAGAGAAAACTACAAAACACTACTGCTATAAGTCAAAAGATCTATACAAATGGAAAGTGTACCATATTCATTAATAGGAATACTAAACACTGAAAATAACAATATTATTCAAAGTACTCTATAGGTGTACTGTAATCTTGACCCAAATCCCACAAAATGAAAAAACCTCCAGCTTTATATGAAAAGAAAGAAGACCTGGATATTTAAAAGTATTATTAAAAAACAACAAAACAGGAGGCCTCACACTTCCCAACTCACAAACTACCACACAGCCATGGAGATTAAAACTGTCATGTACCAGTACAACACACAAAGAGACCAATGGTACAGAATGGAGAATACAGAAATAAATCCATCCAGCTATGGTTAGCGGATCTTTGACAAAGGGTCCAAGTCCATTTAAATAGTGATGATACAGTCTAACAAGTGATGCTCACAAAACCTGCAAAAACATTAGAGAGAACCCACTCTCATACACAAAAACTAAAAATGTTTCAAAGACTTAAATATTAAAACTAAAAGTACAAGGTTCACAGAAGAAAACACACAGACAAAACTAGGGGTCCTAACTTACAGTATATATAGAATATAAAACATAACTAAAAATGCACGAATAGCATAAGATGAACTAGACACCTAGACCTCCTAAAAATTAAATCCTTAAGTTCATCAAAAGAATGAAAAGACAGTCTATAGACTGAGGGTGGGGTGGGGATTGCAATGATATATATGACAGAATCTAATCTCTAAAATGTAAAAAAACATCTTAACAACAGAAAGTAAGAAAATTGGCTCAGACATGAGCAGACTCTTCAAAAAAGGACTCTGAGGCAGCCAGCTTAAGATCATTGTTGCTGCGGGGTACCAACAAATCGAATACAACTCATAGTGACCCTATGACCAACACCTGGACCCTGTGCCATCCTCATCATCTCTAATATACCTGAACCCAGTGCTGTAGTCACCATTTTGAAAAAAAAACCAAGGCATGGCTTCAAGTTGAGTTTGGCTTATAGTGGTCCTCCAGCAGGTTTTCAAGGCTGTAAACTGTTATGGGAGAAGCCTGCCAATCGTTCCTCCACAAACAGCTAGTGGATCTGAAATTACATCCTTTTAGTCAGTAGTCTAACATATTACCTACTACAACACCAACAGCCATTAATAAAATAAAAAATAAAAAAAAAATCACTGCCATTCACTCAGAACAGACACATAGCTGACTTTCCACTGGGTTTTGGAAGCTGTAAATCACATGGGAGGACACTGCCGATCTTTCTCCCTTGCACATCAGCACTAGAATTACAAGTCAAAACTATAATGAGATATCACCTTATTCAGCAATATTAGTACCGATCAAATACACAGTAAATAACAAATGCTGGCAAGGTCAGAGAGAGACTGAAACTCTTGCTGGGACTGTTCAACAATAATGAAGATGGTACGCTGCTGCCTTAAAAAGCCAGAAATATTACATAGACTGGGAGCCCTGAGAACTTAGTGATAAGGAGCTGTGCTGTGCACAGGTCTGAACCCATCAACTGCTCCATGGGAGAAAGAGAAGCAATCTCCTCTTCTGTGATTTACTGACTCTGAAAACTTGCTTAGAGGATCAGCTATGAATCAGTTGCAACTCCATGTTACATAACAACATGTATATGATGCTGATTAAATAAGTCAGTCACAAAAGGACATATATGAATCCAATATAGTAAAAAGTTAAGGAAAAGTTTATTCACAGACAAAACCATTCTGAATGGTTTCCAGCCATGGGAGGGGATGGTGAGGAGATAGAAAATCATTAATTAGATAATAGACACATATTAAACTGGGTGAAAGGAAAGACTACATAAAATACAAGAGTAATCAACATAATATAACTAAAGAAATACACATTAAGAGTAACATGCAACAAATAATAATAAAAAAAATTAAAAAAGAGTAATAGGCAACAAAGGTAAATACTATTACATACACAATCCTGCATTATCAGTAATAACTAAAGTTAATCAATAAGTGTAATATAAGTAAGACAAACAGATATGGGCCAGTAAAAGAGACTACCATCTGTGATCACACACAGGTCTGACAGATTATATTTCTACATGCCTATCTGTAGGTGTAGATCATAACAAACTGTGGCTGACTCTGAGAAGAATGGGAATCCCAGAACACTTGATCGTTCTAATGTGAAACTTATACTTGGACCAGGAGGCAGTCGTCAGAACAGAGCAAGGGAACACTGCATGGTTCAAAATTGGGAAGGGCATACGCCAGGGATGCATCCTATCTCCATACCTCTTCAACCTATATGCAGAACAGATTATCTGGGAGGCTGGGCTCTATGAGGAGAAATGTGGGGTCAGGATTGGTGGATGATTTATCAACAATCTGCGTTATGCGGATGACACAACCCTGCTTGCTGAAACTGAGGAGGACCTGAAGCACCTGCTGCAGAGTGTCAAGGACTGCAGCCTGCAATATGGATTGAGGCTCAATGTCAAGAAGACAAAGATTCTCACCACTGGACCAATCGGCAGCCTCAGGATGGATGGTGAAGAGATTGAGATTGTACACAGCTTTAGTTTGCTTGGCTCCATAGTCAACAGTCTTGGCACCAGCAGCCAGGAAATTAAAAGGTGCATTGCCATGGGAAAGTCTGCTGTTAGGGACCTCTCCAAAGTGCTGAAGAGCAGTGGTGTCTCTCTGGAGACTAAGGTGCGTCTGATACAGGCCATGGTCTTCACAATCACGTGTTATGCATCAGAGAGTTGGACAATGACCAAGGAGGATAGATGGAGAACTGATGCCTTTGAGCTGTGGTGCTGGAGAAGAGTACTGAGAATACCATGGACTGCTAGGAAAACAAATAGATTTGTCCTGGAGAGGGTTAAACCGGGTGGTTCCTTGGAGGCAAGGATTCTGAGGCTCCGTCTAACTTACTTCGGACATGCAGTGAGGAGAGACCAGTCCTTGGAGAGGGACATCATGCTTGGGAGGGTGGAGGGACGGCGCAGGAGAGGAAGGCCCTCTATGAGGTGGATTGATTCAGTGACTGGGATAATTGGGATGGGAGTGTCAGAGACAGTGCGACTGGCACAGGACAGAGGGGAGTTTAGGGCTGTTGTACATAGGGTCGCTATGAGTCGCAGGCGACTCGACGGCACATAACAACAACAACAACAACAACATCTGTAGGTGCATCAAATATACCCAAGAGTCAACAAGAGGCAAACTTATGTAAACTTTGGAACTATAACCCTGAAGGAATGAGTCACTGGTCCTGGGGCCTCATGATCAACAAAGAAAATCAAGGATGCATAGAAATAAACAGACCACAATATTTAATGAATCTCAAAAACTTCAGCCTCCATGGCCATGAAACCAAAAACAGTAGACACTGCCTGGCTACTAAGGATAACAGTTCTGCAAGAGATCACAAGAGGGACTTAGATCATGCAAGAGACAGATATGGACCAAAACTCAAAAGCACCAAAAATCCAGGTTTATCAGCATCGATTCTCATCTGAGGGTCAACAAACTCTCTTCTTCAGAGGTGGTCTCCTTTTCTTAATACACTTTCTTCTGTCCTTAACTGAAAGACTCTCAAAGAACCCCTTAGCCTTTAGTCATCTTTGAGCCTGAAACTGAACTCAGCATGCAACTCAATTTTCAGCCTAACCACAGACAATTTGGTGACTAATCAACAACACAAGATCAAAAGCACAGCATCTGTGCAAGGATAAAGTTCAGAAGGCAGTAAAGAGGATAGACAGAGGGGGAACAAGAACTACCGAAGACACTAGATGAGTGCTATTATAATGTGGGGATTGTAAGCAATGAGATCAAATAAAATGTAAATAAATGGCTGAATGGGAACTAAATCTGCTCTGTAAACTTTCATTCAAACAACAATAAAAAAAGGTTTTATTACAAAAGACATTAGAAAAACATTTTTCGTTTCAACAATTTATACTTATCCCTTAAGAATAAAAAAATAATTCCTATAGTTCCCACATAATACAAGAAGACATTTCAATATTTGCAGCCTTTCCAAATTGCCTATCAGCTGTCTTAGCAAAAGGAAGGAATAAATAAAATGAGACTTACCTTTTCAATATTTCCATATAAGCAGAAGAGGTTGAAAACTCTGGAACAATTCATTTTCAGTTGATGTAATCCACTAACCATTACAACTGAACCAGAGGGGTTTCCTCCATGCATGTAAGAGGAAGAAGCCTGTGGTAATGGATATGCAACAAGCTCAGGGGTGTCTCGAGAGCCCATTCTGTAACGACTTGGTAAAGGCAATAATGGGCCATGGGATCCTATAAAAATGATTTTAAAAAGAGAAAAATATGGTTCCATTTGTAAATAACAGATTGGCTTAACCTCATTTAAAAAAAATTAAACCAAAACCTCTTAGTTTAAACTACTTTAATGTCAATAAAAGCCTGTGGGAAATCAATAAAATCTATTCTTATCTGTACCAGCTTCAATAAACAGTAACCTAAATATATCAAGCTATAAATTTATATTATCAGGTATTAGTTTACCTAACAAAGCAGAGGAATGAGAGATAGAGAACTGATGCCTTTGAGCTGTTGTGCTGGAGAAGAGTGTTGAATACACCATGGACTGCCAGGAGAACAAATAGGTTCGTCCTAGAGAAGGTGAAGCCAGCCTGCTCCTTGGAGGCAAGGATTCTGAGGCTCCGTCTGACATACTCTGGGCAGGTTGCAAGTAGGGGCCAATCCTTGAAGAGGGACATCATGCTTGGAAGTGTTGAGGAATGGAGAAAGAGAGGGAGACCATCAATGAGATGGACTGATAGAGTGACTAGAGTAATGAGGGTAGGTGTGTGTCTTGGAGACAGTAAAGTTGGCACAAGGATAGAGCAGGTTTCAGGGCTGTTGTACACAGGGTCACTATGAGGTACAAGCCACTTAATGAAACACAACAACAACAAAGTAGAGTATATAAGATTAGAAGATTATATATATATTTAAAATATCTAATGTGAAATTTTCTGCAATGGTATATAAATTAGAGCCCAAATTTTAAAAATAAACCAAACAAAGCCCACAAATTGTAAAGAGCAGAAAACTCTGCATAGTAGTAGTTTTCTAGAAGGGGGTTTAATAAACAGTAAAAGCTCAGAAGCAATCTCTGTATCTTATATAGATAGATAAATGGAGCATATTTAGTTCTGCTGAAAAGTGTCCTCTTCCTTATCATGCTTTAATGAACTTTTAAGCTTGGCACACATGCACACACACATATGTCTGTTACATGAGAATCTTCATTAATAGTCAATTTTAGCAATATGAAATAAAATGGGGTTTTTAAAAAAGCCAATTTTGCAGACTTTATCAGGGCTTTCACCCACAACAGTAATAATAAAATAAACTTAAGTATGGAATGGAAAAAAGTAAAGGAGTCTAGAGACCCAAAGTATTAAAGGCCTTAAAATCACAGGCAAATAAAATGGAGAGGTATATAGTTTAGAAACAAATTCTATGCATTTTAGACATTCCTGATTTCATTGTTAGAGAAACACAGGTTAAAGTACATTTAAAGGTGTTCACAATATGAAAAAATTAATTCCAAAGACCAGCTTTTTCTCCTCACTTTTCAAGAAGAAAACAGCAATGCTACTTTCATTTTTCATATAGAACTAAGAGGTTTTCATCAACCAAAATTATCATGCTATTATAAAGCTTATAATGGAATTCAATCAGCATCCTCAAATAAAGATGCCATAACAATAAAGCAACACTACCACTGTGCACACACAAACACAGGTGAATTCCTGCAGCTAGAAGGAGGGATATTTTGTCAAGGCCCACCTTCAGGAATGCCTTAAATTGGTCATGATTTTCAACTGTTTTTCTGATAGCTTATCAAAACAGCCAACACAGCTCATGGTAACTTATTTGCTAATAACTACAAATATGATGGTCTGTAACTTAAGATGCTAATATATGGACTATAGTTCAAATCTCAATTTACATTCTTATCCTTACTGCAAAAATATATATTGTTCTCCTTCCAAATACCATCATTACTATTTGCTTAAAAACAAGGCCCAAAGTATTGATGACATAACAACTGACATTATTTCAACAAACTGATGCTACCCTGGAAGCACTCACTAAGTTGTACCAAGAAATTTGGAGGACAACCACCTGGCTAACTGACTGGAAGAGATTTGTATTTGTTCTCATTCCAAAGAAAGGGGAACCAACAGAGTGTGGAAATTATTGAATAATATTAATATCACATGCAAGCAAGATTCTGCTGAAAATTATCCAAAACCAACTGGAACAGCACATCAACAGAAAACTGCCAAATGTTCATGCTGGGTTTAAGAGGCCATGGCACTACAGATATTGTAGCTAATGTCAGATGGATCTTGGCTGAAAGCAGAGAGAAATGTCTATCTGTGTTTCACTGACTATATAAAAGTATTTGTGTGGATCACAACAAACTGTGGCTAACTCTGTGAGGAATGGGAAATCCAGAAGACTTGACTGTGAAACCTATACTTGGATCAATCAGGTGGCAGTCATCAGAACAGAGCAAGGAAACATTACATCGTTCAAAATCAGGAAAGGTATACACCAGTGAGGCATCCTACCTATCTCCATACTTTTTCAATCTATACGTGGACCAGATCATCCAGGACACTGGGCTCTATGAGGAGGAATGTGGCATCAGAATTGGAGGAAGACTCATCAATAAATCTGTATTATGCAAATGACACAAACTTGCTTGCTGAAATTGTGGAGGGCCGGAGTCATTTGCTACAGAAGTCAAGGGCTACAGCCTTAAATATGGATTGAAGCTCAAGATCAAGAAAACAAAGATCCTCACTACTGGGTTGACTGGTGGCATCACGACAAACAGTGTAGGGATTGAGATTGTTAACAGCTTTAGCTTGCTTGGCTCCAGTGTCAACACCCTTGGTAGCAGCAGTCAGGAAATCAAAAGACAAATTGTATTGGGAAAATATGCTGCCAGGGACCTCTCCAGAGCACTGAAGAGCAACAGTGTCAATCTAGAGACTAAGGTACAACTTATCCAGACCACGGTCTTCACATTTACTTGCTATGCATCAGAAAGCTGGACAATGACTAATGATGATAGATGAGAATTGATGCCTTTGAGTTGTGGAGTTGGAGAAGAGAATTAACATTCCATGGACCACTACAAGAACAAAGAGGTTCTTCCAAGAGAGAGTGAAATCAGGCTGCTCCTTGGAGGCAAGGAATCAGAGGCTTCATCTGACATACTCTGGACGTGTTGCAAGGACAGACCAGTCCTTGGAGGAAGACATCATGCTTGCAGGGGGGGGGGGGTCGAGAGACAGCACAAGAGAGGAAGACCTTAGATGAGATGGATTGATTCAGTGACGGTAAATGGGGGTAGGTGTGTCAGAGACAATGAAGTTGGCTCAAGATAGAGCAGGGTTCAGAGCTGTTGCACATGGGTCACTATGAGTTACAAACAACTCACAGCACCTAACAACAGCAATACTTCTTGAAAAGTATGAAAATGTGTAGTAGGTGGTTAAGTTGGCCAAAACCAAAACCAAAACCTTTTGAGAAATATCACTCTAGAAAAAAAAAATTCTGTTGTAATTTTGTTACCTACACTGCCGCAAAAGAAACCCTAGTGGAAACACTTCCAGAAAACCTATAGCCACCATAACAAGATAAAGATAAATAATCCAATAGAAAAATGGGTGCAGGGTATGAACAGACACTTCACCAAAGAAGACATTCAGATGGCTAAGAAGCACATGAAGAAATGTTCAAAACCCCTAGCTCTAAGAGAGATGCAAGTCAAAACAACTATGAGATATCATCTCACCCCAGTCAGAATAGCAAAATTTAACACAACAGCTAGCAACAAATGCTGGCGAAGTTGTGGAGAGACTGGAACCCTTATTCACTGTTGGTGGGAGTGTAAAATGGTGCAACCACTGTGTAAGGCAGTATGGCACTTTCTCAAAAAGTTGCAAATAGAGATACCATTTGATCCAGCAATTCCTCTACTGGGAATATATCCCAAAGAGACCATAACTGACATCTACGCAGATATATGCACACCCATGTTTACTGCAGCTTTGTTCACAACAACAAGGAGTTGGAAACAACCTAAGTGCCCATCAACAAACGAATGGATACAGAAGTTGTGGTATAGTCACACAATGGAATACTACGATGCATTGGAAAACAAGGAACTCATGCAATATTATTCAAAATGGGTGACTTTGGAGGACATTTTGCTGAGTGAAGTATCCCAGTCACAAAAGAACAAAACTTCATGGTGCTACTGTTGTAAAACAGAACTGACCTTGGGGCTGGGGAGAGATTGAGAAAGATGGGTTCAATAATGTATACTGCATTGAAAGAGATGAGGGAGAAAACTGATTAAAAGGGATATGTGTGACTGGTTATTTTTGTCATGACAGAAGTCTAGAGTGAAGGCCACATGGTGGAGTGGACCTGGGGGAGGGTTTGTAAAACAATGAAAGAATTCGTCTTTTACTCTTCCAAGAGGGTAAGTGTACTAGGGGGTTGGGTTGGGAGGGGACAAAAGTGCAACACTGAATGAATGGAAATCCAAAGTCTCTGTAAATTTTTACTGAAATTAGTAATAAATTTAAATTAAAAACAAAAAACCTATAGCCACGAAAAACTTACAAGGCATGGGATTGCTATTGGGGGGGGGAGGGAAATCTTGACAATATCTAATAACAACATTATTCAAGAAGAGGTAGTGATAGTTCAGTGGTAGTATTCTCACATTCCATGCAGAGACCAAGTCCATTTGCCTCTCAATATGTTTAGTCACTACCCATCAGTTAGCGAAGGCTTATATGTTACTATAATAATAAAGCATTGCAGCAGTGTGAGAGACTAGTAGCAGCACGAGGCATCATGGAATTAACATGATGCCTGAGCCATCATATCAAGGGTTGGTTGGGGATTGGGGGGAGGTGCTGGCCAGGTTAGGCAGGAATAGAAGGAGATAATGATGGAGTGGGGAAAGGGACAGGACAAGACACATGTGCCAAGGGGAGTAAGGGTCCTACACCGAATCTATTCATTACTTCTATAATAGGGAAATGTTTCTCATCTGCTCCTTCCAGTGAAATGCTTATCTGTCAGTAATTTTTCTGACAATTAAAAGTAGAGCACACAAATTAAGATAGACTAGAAAGAAGGATTGGCCATCCACTTCAGAAATAACAGGCCTTCGAAAACTCTTGCTTGGCTCCATAATCAACATTCTTGGCATCACCAGTCAATAAATAAGAAAACAAATTACATTAGGGAAATCTATTGTTAGGGACCTCTCCAAAATGCCAAAGAGCAGTAGTGTCAGTCTAGACACTAGGGTGTACCTCATTTAGACCATGGTCTTCGCAATTACTTTCTATGCATCAGATTGCTGGAAAGTTACTAAGGACAATAGAAAAACCAATGCCTGTGAGTTGTGTTGTTGGAAAAGAGTACTGAACATATCATGAACTGCCAAGAGAACAAAAACGTCCGTCTTGGAGAGGGTGAAGCCAAGCTGCTTCCTGGAAGAAAGGATTTTGAAGGTCTGTCTCAAAAATAATTTGGGCATGTTGCCAGGGGGACCCATCCCTAGAAAAGGACAAAATTCTTGGAAAGGTGGAAAAATAATACATGTGCAGAAGACCCTCAGCTGAGATGGACTGACATAGTAACTGGGGTAATGAGGGTAGATGTGTCAGAGATGGTGAGACTGGCTCAGGGTAGGACAGGATTCGGAGCGACTGTATGTAGGATTGCTATGAGTCGCAGGCAACTCGATGGCACAAAACAAGTACAACATAATAAAGAAGAAGTTTCAGCAGAGGTTAAGAAAGACTAGAAAGTAAGGCCTGGCAATCTAAGCCTGTAAATCAGTTCATAATTAATTAATTAATAATCACAATGAGATCACAATGGTCTAATTCTTTTGGGAATGGAGTCCCCACGAATTTGAAGCTAACTCAACAGCAGCTAACAACATACTACACAAACTGTTACCTGCACTGTTTGAGAAGATGGAACAAATAAACATTTTCCCCCCTACACTAAGTTATTCCAAGGTTTTTATATTTATTGTTTAAAAGTAGTATATGACTAGGCATTATAGGTATGACGACAATCCAGAATAAGGGGTACACTGCAAAGCAGATTGGGTTGTAGGTAAGGAAGGCAATTGTGTAACAGTGATTTTTTTTAAGTGAACTGGAAAGAGGAAGCGAGAAGGAAGGAGGAAAATATGCAACAATGAATGAATTGAAAATCCAACTTTTTTGTAAACTTTCATTAAAATCAGAATAAAAATATTTTATAAAGAAGATTATTTTTAAAACTTACTCATATGGGAAATTATTGCATAAAATCGACTTAAACAGTTAAAATAAATTATTGAGTAAGTTTAATTTAATGCAGCCTATACTGTCTTGAATTCTAATTTTTCTATTTTCTTTCTCTCACATGCTTCCATGTAAGAAAAGCCAGCCAGTGGTGATCCCATGTTAAACTGAAACTTTTCTGAACTGCTGCTGATCTACAAGGATACAGCTGTGACATGTAAATTCTGTAAAGTTATTCAGTACAGCTAGTACTTCTTTGGCTTTTTATCTCTCATTTCTTCATATTCTTTTCTCCACTCTACTTCTTTTTAATCTCCATCTTCCTAGACTCAATTTTATTTACAGTCTTAGGTAAGTAGAACAAATTATCCTCAGAGGATTTAATGAAGAACAATCCAAAGAGAACATCTCATACCACCTCACCACCATTCCTCCTACGTAGGACTCTGCAGTGCCAGAATTACTCTTTAACATCATAACTCCAAATAATGCTATACACTTCTCTTTAAATAAGCTTACATTTAAATCTGGCACTTACATACACACACACCCCAATAAAAAATAAAAGCATGACATTTTCAACTCGTTTTAGTTGTTTTTAAAAAAATAAAGTACTTCTAGAAAACAAAGTAGTATATTTCTGCTTATACAATTTTCACAAATATATTTTATAAAGGATGCAACCCAGAAGATCTATATTAAAATAATGGGAAAACAATGTCTCAACATTATCCCAAAAGAGTTCTTTCCCCCTCAGATTTTTCTAGTTGTCTTTAGCAAAATACTTAACCAGTTTTCAGCTGTCAAATGACTGTCCTGACTTATTTAACTCTTCAACTAGATACAAACTTGTGATTAGTAATTCTTTTGTCAATGTTCATTATACAAAGCATAATGGATTCACAGTAAGTGGTTCTTTAGTGAAGGATCAGAATTACCCATGTGACCTTAATCTAATATTCATTGTTCCAGAAACAACTAAATGACCAACAAAGACATGCACTGAACAACCATGGTTAAGATTTTCATTCTATACCAAAATTGATATAGCATAACTTAGAGACTGCTTCCATTTGATAGGGAATATAGACTACTACAGAACTTGAACAAATATAAACCAACTCCTCACTATCTCTTTATTCAACATTTCAAATGCACAATATTAAAAGAATATACTATCCTACCATTTTGCACATTAATGATGTATATCTGGCAGTAATGAAAGCCACAGAGTCAGGCGAGACTAACACTGAGTATGGTGGTGAAGGTTGTATGTCTCAACTTGGCAGAAATATGATTCTCAGTGATTTGGCAATTATGTGATGAAATTTGGCAACTATGTGATGAAATTTGGCAACTATGTAATGATGTTGCCATCCTCCATTTTCATATAATGCCAAGTCTTTGGAACCAAACTAAGCCAATAAAAGGAATGGATGTATACAAAAACGCAGGTAAAAATACCTAGGCTTCAAAAATCACCCTAAGGATTATTTCAGTTAGAACTCCCAGCTAAGGATGATCCTTAAAGTAAGTATGTAGAACATTTTAAAGTGATTTCAGGAAACAGACAATAGTAGGGCCTTTTCAATGATAAATCCCAAGAGTTCAATATAGCATTATCAATTTCTTGTCACTTCTAATAGTATTATACTTCAAATTTAAGCCACAGAATAAGTAGAGTCATTAACTACCACAAAAACAAACAAAAAAAATCACAGATTTTTATAAGCACCTAAAAGGTTATCAGTAGCAATTCTCAACATCAACTTTGCAAGGATGACTAAATTTTCCCTGGGAAAGATTGTTATCCTGGATTTCAAAATCTTAACTATCACAACACAGCTGAACAGCAAATACTAAAAGCTAAATACTTTTAAAGACAAAACAGAGTCAAATTAAAATATAACCAAAGCCAAAGTCCTAACCGTAGGTTTAAAAAGACTTAAGGAACTAACCACAAATATGTATCCTTTTCCAAAATTGCTGGAATAGTAGCAGTAAATAGACTTGATGAGTCATAATTCTCTCCCTTTTTGGTTTACAATTCAAAGCCAAAACATTACAAAACATAAAAGCAAAAAGAAGTTTTCAATTTCCGACCAACAGCCCTCATTCATCTCAAGGATCATGTGATGTGATATGTTAATATCCCAAGAAAAGAAATTATTTTGGACAACTTCTTGGGTGGGTAAGATGAATAAGGGTATTGACCACATGTAAACCAAGTCAGGTAAACAGAGAAAAAAAATACAGAGACAAGAAATGTGCAGTTCTTGATCAGAAATGCAAAATTCTAACAGTTCATCCATACTACCTTCCTTCTGCCTTGGCAAACTTACCATAGCCATCATGTCTAAACGAAGAAGGGTGTTCTCCCAAAATGGCTTGTCTCTGGCGACCCTTTCCTCTATCTGACACAAAAGTAGAAACATGGTTTTAACAATTTTGACCCAAGTACTTAACAGTTCTCACATGGGGAACACCCCTTCAAAACATCCATTACAATTCATAAAAGAAGTACGATTCCTGGTTAACTTTAAACATCCATTCATATCCAATTTAAATACAAACAACAAAAGTTTAGGAAAATAATTCTATCTAACAAATTCCACTTAACTTGAAAATATCTTTTTGGCAAATGCCAAATACAAACACACTTTCCATTTTTAAGGGAAGAATGGATACTTTTCAGAAAGTGAACATACACAATTCTAGAGTTTGACACTGTACAGAAGTTTTTACCAATACATGTCTTTAAAACAAGCTTAAGTGCAGTACTTTTGAAAGACAGTACCTGAATCATACTATTAGCTTCAACAGCAACACATTTTCAAAGTGGGCTTCTTTCAAGAAGTTTCAGCATAAGCCAACAACAACCTGTATTACATGGTTTCACAATCAGTAAACACAGAGTATTTTTTACGTATATACATTTTTACAAACACCTACTGACTTGAGCACTGAAAATGTGCATTATCACTTGCCCATACTGTGTCATAGATTGGTCACTATCTACAGACAATGTTAAGACATCAGGCAGGAAGGACTGTTAAGTACCCCCAAAGTTTAAATACGCCAAGATAAAACTAAGCAAGGGGGCTACATTATTGGATGAGAGCACTACAATACCCCTAACAGGACATTTTTATTCTAGCTATGTTTTTCAGAGAAGGCAGCCAATTTCCCTAACTCTGAGGTATCAGTTAAATTCCTTATGGGGTTTCTTAAATAGCACTTCCTATGTTGGTTATAAATTCTTAAAATCATCATACAGTACTTTTAGAAAGTTTGCTGACCAAATTGAAGTGTCCACCAAGGTTTAACAGTTTTCATTTTGTTTTGCTGTAGATCTCGAGAATCTGGTCATTCTAATCACTAAAAACTCAAGAGTGAGACTTTTCATATACCTTAAGTCACCCTAAACAAATAAGATTTATGGGAGATGAGAAATACTTTTAATTTTCACTTCAGTCTAATAAACTTATTTCAGGTTATCACAACACTGAAATAAGCCTAGAAGGTCACCCAGGTCAACTATTATTCTATGAATAAATTCTCTTTACTTCACCCTAGTCAACTAGAAGCATCTAGTCTTGCCTAACCAACACCAATGACAAGGAACTCATTATTCTCTCCCTCTCGATTTTAAGAATCCAAAACCATTAGAAAATGTTGCTACATTACATAGAAATCAGTCCTTTGCACATACTCTATCCCAATTTGGGGCCTCACAGATTTAAATCTTTCTTACAAAACTTTTATACACTTGAAAAGCTATTATATTCTCTTCACCCCCACTCTTCTGCTCCTCCAAAGTATCTTCCTCTCCAGACTATATTTACACCCTCTTCATTCCATCATACGGCTTCCATCAAATCTCATCATTTAAATCTCACACCTCTTCAAAAGTCCAGTCCTCTGTGTCAATTGTTATTCCTTTGTTTAAATACGCTATCAAACACTGATATAATTCCTTATCTGACCTAGGACTAAACTAAAACCACTGTAATGTCTGTATGGCTCAGAGTTGTTAGAACTAGTAGTGTGCTAACAAGAAAATGCACTGGATTAACAATCATAAGATTCCAGGATAACCACTAATTTGTAAGTGGTCACAATCCCCATTCATAAAATGAAGGAGTTAAGAGTAGATGTTCTCCATGCTCTCTATCAGCCAAACATTCTCATTACACAGTCACATAAATCAGAAGCTTCAAGCAGAAGAATCAAACAAGAAATATATCCATTTCTAAATAGTGATCCTTAACCTTTTCATTTCTAACATTTAATGGAAGCTATGGAGATCAGGCCCAGGAAAATGCACATATACAAGCTTGCTCAATATTTTTAAAGGAGTTCCCTTTGGTCCAAGTTAAGAATTCTTTGCACTAAAATGTAATTAGCCCTGAAAGGGAATTTTTTGCATGAGGCTACTTTTTAAAAGCAACTCTTTTTTTAGGGGACAGCGGAGGGTAAGAAAAGGTTTCAATATATTCTATCAAGTTGAGGGCAAATTGAGATCACTACAAGGCAAAGTTGTAATCTTCCATAGTCTTGCCAGACACATATCTATCTATGATGCACTTAAAAACAAGAACCCTTCCCATTCCCAGAAAGTATAAACTAAAATTCTATTTCACTGCCTTAAACATCTACCATTTCCAAACTCATCTTCCTTGTATAGAAAACTAAACTGATCTCATGCAAATGTTCAACCTCTTTACAGAACAAAACAAAAGTTTACCTAAAAATGTTACTAAGAAATCTGGTGGCACAATGATCAAGTGCTCACTGCTAACTTCAAGGACAGGTTCAAACTCAGCAGCCCCATGGGGAAAAAAAGACTTGGGAAGAAAATCAATCTTTTCCCAGAAAAGAGTCATTCACTCACTCACTGCTCTCAATGTGGAAGCAACTCACAGTTGACCCTCTGGCAGGTTTTCAGGGGCTATAATTGCACAGGAAGACAACTGCTCATCTTTCTCCTGTGGAGCAGCTGGTGGAATTGAATCACCTACATTTGGGTTGGCAGCACAACTCTTTACCCAAGAAGCCACAGTCTAGAAAACTCTATGGGGTAGATCCTCTCCATAAAGTGGGTTTATTATGAGTCAAATTCAACTCAAGAGTACTAACAATAATAAATGCTATTCATTATTAGAGACATTCAGAGCAAAGTAACCAAAACTATTTCAAGTAAGTATAAACTAAATATGTTCACTAAACGAACATGAATTGACAGAAGTGAGAGATTTCTCATCAACCACTTACTTGTCCTGTTGTTGGGTGTACTAAACTTATATTTTCTAATACTGTGTTCCACTGCACCAAGTCTAGGCCAAACAGATTGCCTTGAGTAGCGAGGATGGAGGGTCCAGCCAAATCTGTGTTACCAAACAAACTACTCTGCAAGACCATGCACGACTCCTTAAGAATCAAGAGTTAGAGTGACCAATCATCAAAAAGTCCTCAATATCCGAAACATGCAAATAAAGAGTGATTACATGACCTTTTCGTTTGTTTTGCTATAGTAAATATACTAGAGTCCCTCAGATCCAAGATATTTTGGGTGTCAAGAAAAACTTTCCACTTTTGTTTTTACATACTCATCTTGGTGAGTTTTTCAACACATGATTCAAGTACTGATATTGTAGTTGAGATGTAGCCAATACTGCAGCCCCCTTGTTTTTACAAATTCCACATTTTAATTTGTAAATTCCAAAACTGCTTCACAGTTAGTTGAACAATTTTACCAGTCAATGCTATTCCCAGGAAATCTAGCATTTATTAAGTTATTTATAGGTGGACATGCACTTCAAATGAAATGCTCTTAATTTCAGGTATAAAAAGTTTAAATATATTCTACCTTGAACAGACATCACACTTTCAACCTACATTTGTTTGATTATGTAGAAATTTCTAGTTATACAAATTAACATAAATGATAACCTTAATTTTTACAAAAGTGACAACTTATAAACATCAAACCACACAGAAGTTTTTTTACATATAAGGCACTTTTCCATTAATATTTTAGAGAATTTTTGTTCCATGTTCACAATTGAGAAAAAAAAAAAAAACCAATAAAATAAACTTAAGGGTAGCAAATGTGCCCCCTTTCTAGTAGTTCTATCTTTGATATACCTGTGTGGATTGGTTGAGTATTACTGATTCCCAAGGCCTATAAGTAAACTGGCCCTGGCTATTTGTCAATTAACATTCTGAATCTAAGCTGCAAACAATTACAGCAATGGGCATTAAGATTTACAACATTGCAAAGAAAGTCTAGTTTCATTAGTGAAAAATCTCAAATTCTACAACTGAAACTTTAAGGGAGACCAGATCAATATATACATACAACTTGAATAAAGGGCACAGTCTATCATGGTGTTCATCCCATGCAAGTCTGAAGTACTGTTAAGTGTCCGCCTTTAAAAACTTGGGGTGGTGGTGCATGCAGTATGCAGTCAAGGTGAATTGCAAGTCTGAGTTTTTCAGAGGGCTTTTTGTTGATGCCGATGTTGTGCATGATGAAGTGTAGAGTCAGCCTGCTGGAGTCCTCTATCCTTCTTAATGCCTTGTCCAGCTTGGGGGAAAAGTCTTTTCCATAGAGAAGCAGTGTGCAAGTTTGAAGTTTGTAAGGAATATTCTGAAATCAGTTTCCTCTCCTCCAAAGAGAGAGAGCTGCTTGGAGAAATGCAAGTCCTTGAACTGCGGGCGTGCCTGTATGTGTGGGCTTCTTTGTTGAACTATATATTAATAGCTCAGTACATACCAGTAGGGGGCACTAATGTTCAAGGTTATTTTCCAACATTACATGGTCTTTTTCAACAAAAGTAAAAATCAGCAAGTTTTTTATTTGAATTAACTAGTCAGGAAAAAGCAATCTAACTGCATTAAAACATTCAATAAATGTTAAGTACATTCTAAAATTATTAAAATACCTACCTCGTCTTCCCAAATATGGTTTAGTGTAGTCCCAACTGTCATTGTCATTCCTAATAACATTTAGACGAGTCGGCTGTTAAGAGTAAAAGGGTAGTAAGTTGAATTATATATGCAGAGCATAAATATTTCTTTGATGAAATGTTGATAAAAGCTACTTACTCTTGCATATTCAATTTTTAGTGTGCAACATCCAGCATATATATCTGCTCCATTGAGTGCTGCTTTAGCTTTCTGCGCACAAAGGACTGATTCAAACATAAGCACTATTAAGGAAATGTGATGGAAGGTATCCCCTTATTAATCACTCCCACTTTCTAATGAAGGGACTAAAGATAATCAGAACTAATTATTCCACTTTGAGAAATGTTTTACTAAATATAATTTCTATATGAATATTAGGAGAAACTAAGCTCAAGGGAAGGGTTACATACAACCAAAGCAAATTTTAAAATACTGTAGTATGGTGCCATCCTAGAAGGACAATCATTACATTGACTTAAATACTATTTTTAAAGTAGGAAGACTATACAAATAACTTAAAAAAAAAACCCAACTTTATGTATTACTCGACTTCTCTTTTTTTTTTGGTGCCAATGATTTTTTTTTTTTACACTGGCTTACATACAAAATTCGTGTACATTGCCCCTCACAGTGGCTGACCCCCCCCATTCCCCACCTATCAATACATGCGACCCCATGACAATTGTACATTTTTTAGAAAAAATTACAGTAGTTCATCAGTTCTCCTTTTATCATCCCTAGTCACTGACCAGCTTTCTGATGCATAGCAAATAATTGCAAGACTATGGGCTGGATCAGGCACACCTAAGTCTCCAGACTGACATCTTTGCTCTTCAGTACTCTGGAGAGGTCTCTGACAACAGACTTTCCCAATGCAATTTGTCTTTTAATTTTCTGGCTGGTGGTACCAAGAGTGTTGATTGTGGAGCCAAGCAAACTAAAGCTATTAGCAATCTCATCTTCACCATCTATCATGATGCTGCCAACTGTCCCAGTGATGAGAATCTTTGTTTTCTTAATACTGAGCTTCAATCCACACTGAAAGTTGCAGTCCTTGACCTTCTGCAGCAAGCATTTCAGGTTCTCCTTAATTTCAACAGGCAGGGTTGTGCTACCTGCATAACACAGACTGTTGACCAGTATTCCTCCAATCCTAAGGCCCATTTCTCCTTATAGAATCCAGCCTCCTGGATTATCTGTCCTGCACACAGACTGAAAAGGTATGGAGATAGGATACATCCCTAGTGCACACCCTTCCCAATTTTGAACCATGCAGTGTTTTCTTGCTCTGTTCTGACAAATGCCTCCTGGTCCAAGTGTAGGTGTCACATAAGCATAATCACGTGTTCTGGGATTCCCATTTTTCTCAGGCTCAGTCACAGTTTGTTGTGATCCACAGTCAAATACCTTTGCACAGTCAATGAAACAAAGACATTCCTCTGGTTTCAGTCAAGATCCATCTAACATTAGCTACAATATCTCAAGTACTATGGCCTCTTCTAAAACCAGGCTGCGCATCTGGCAGTTTTCTGTTGATGTGCTGTTCCAGTTGTCTTTGGATACTTTCCAGCAGAATCTTGCTCGCATGTGTCATCAATGATACTGTTCAATAATTTCCGCACTGTCAGATCACCTCTCTTTGGAATGGGAACAAATCTCTTCCAGTCAATTGTCCAGGTGGTTGTCCTCCAGATTTCTTGGCACAACTTTGTAAGCACATCAAGGGCAGCATCTGTTTGTTGAAATGTCAACAATTTCTGAGGTCCTGGGGTTTGTTTGGGGTTTTTATTACTTAAATGAAAATTTACAGACTTTGGATTTCCATTCATTCACTGTTGCACTTTTCTCCCATCCTAACCCTTCCCTCTAGTACACTACCCTCTTGGAAAAGTAAAAGAACAATTTTCATTGTTTTACAATCCCTTCCCCCAGGTCCACTCCACTATGGAGCCTTCATTCTGGACTCCTGTCATGACAACAATACCTAATCACATATCCCTTTTAAACAGTTTTCTCCCTCATCTGTTTCAATGCAGTATACATTATTGAACCCATCTTTCTCAGTCTCCCCCCAACCCCGATGTCAGTCCTGTTTTACAACAGTGGCACCATGCAGTATTTGTCCTTTTGTGACTGAGATACTTCACTCAGCATAAATGTCCTCCAGGGTCACCCGTTTTCAGTAATATTCCATGAGTTCCTTCTTTTTCAATGCAGCATAGTATTCTGTTGTGTGAATATGCCACAGCTTCTCTATCCATTTGTTTGTTGATGGGCACTTAGGTTGTTTCCAACTCCTTGCTATTGTGAACAAAGCTGCAATGAACATGGGTGTGTATGAGGTCTTGTTTTTTGCCAATTCTTTCAGAGTAATTTGAACTTCTTCATCACCATAGGTCTTGCTCATACGTTGTTACAGTGACTAGGGATGATAGGAGAATTGATGCCTTTAAGCTGTGGTGCTGGAGAAGAGTATTGAGAACAAACAGGTTCGTCCTAGAGAGGAGAATTGATGCCTTTAAGCTGTGGTGCTGGAGAAGAGTATTGAGAACAAACAGGTTCGTCCTAGAGAGGGTGATGCCAGGCTGCTCCTTGGAGGCAAAGATTCTGATGCTTCATCTGACATACTTTGGACATGTTGCAAGATAGGACCAGTCCCTGCAGAGGGACGTCATGTTTGAGAGGGTGAGGGGACAGTGCAGGAGAGGAAGAAGACCCTCAATGAGATGGAGTGACTGTGGTAATGGGGGTAGGTAAGTCAGACATTAAGATTGGCACAGGAGAGCCTGGTTTAGGACTGTTGTACATAGGGTCGCTACGACTCAACAGCACATAACAACAATAATAGTTCATGATTATAATATACATAATATTAAACCACAAAGCTGTATGTTGTTACAATATGTCCTCAGGTCAGAACCAACTCATAGTTGACCCTCCTGTGGGTTTTCGGAAGCTGCAAATCACACAGGAAGAAAGTGCTCATCTTTCCTCTACAGTGAAGCTGGTTGATTTGAACCGCCTGGCTTTGGGTTGACAGTGTATCTCCTTTGCTGTAAGCCACCGGCGTTCACAAAGATACATGCTACAACCAAAAGTTAAGTTAAGCCCAGAGCTCTCAAGTCAATTCTAATTCTTGACAACCCAATTCTAATTCTTGAAAACCCTCCATGGGTTTCCAAGACTGTCAACTTGTATTAGACTGCTGTTCTTTCTCCCTTAGTGCAGCTAGTGGATTCAAATCCCTGACCAGATTAGCAGGCAAACATGTTAAACAACCAACTACTCACTCACTCCTTCAATGCTGTGAAGTCAGAACCAACCTGCTGACCCTCCAGTAAGTTTTCAGAAGTTATAAAATGGACAGAAAGAAACTCCCCATCTTTCTCTTGTGGAGTAGCTGGGGGATTTGAACACCTGCCTTTGGGTTCGCAGCACAACTCCTTACCTACCTGGCTACCAGAGCTCCCTTCCCTACTCCATCACTGCTGCTGTTGTTGTGTGTTGTCAAGTAGGACTAGATCCATAGCTGACCCTTCAGAGGAATTTCAGAGACAAATGATCACATGGGAAGAAACTGTATATCCTTCTCCCGTGGAGGAGTGAGTGGATTCGAACCAAGTGCCTGTATCCACCACTTGTTAGGTGCTGTCAAGTTGAGTGCAATTTACTGCAATTCTATGAATGACAGACCTGAATCCTTCATAATCCTGTGACAACCATATCATCTCCAAAACACTCAAGCCCATTGTTAATGTCATGTGTCAATTCACGTTGTTGGGGGTCCTCGTCTCCTTTGCTGACTCTGTCTTTCCAAGCATGATGTCCTTTTCAAAAGAAGAGCCTCACCTAGATACATGTCCAAAGTGTGAAAAGACAAAGTTTCACCATCCTTGCCTCCAAGGAGCACTCTAGCTGTACCTTTTCCAAAAAATATCTATTTATTAAAAAAAATATCTATTTATTCTTTTTTGTTATTTTGTTCCTTTTTTCAGTACTCTTTTCCAG